TGTTGGTTAAATATTTAATTTGTTTGGTTGTTTTTGTTTTTATTACAAACTTGAAAAAGAAACTCTTTAACTCAGAGTTTCTCTGTAACAAAATCTGTTAGTGTATAGAGCTGATACAAGTTAGGAAGGATTTGGTTTATTCATTTATATATAAAACTGTTGTATTCGTTTTGTCTGCGTTCTGTTCTGTAAGCCTTCTTTTGCACAATGTTATTAATAGTATTATATATTCATGTGAATTGGTTTGCACAGTTCTGCAAAAAATACATTTTTGTCACGTTCAGCTCACTTGAGTTTGGCTTCTTTTACTTTGCCTTGCTCGTGGAGGCCCCTTAGGTGCAAATAACAAGAACAAAATATGCAAATACACAAAAAAATATAACAAATATATATAACAAAACACAAAAGGTTTAAGAAAACAGATTGAAAACAGTAGAAACACACACAATGGTATTTTATTTAATAAAAGGTTTCATTTTGCAAAATGATTTCTTGTTTCTTTTGTTTTTCTTTTCATTTTACTGTTTTTCACGCTGTTATATTAGGGCACAAAAGCATCATGATGAGCCACTGTGTCTGTGTTTTATGAGGAGCTGGTTACTGTGCTTTGTTCATGAGGATACTTGGCTGCCATCTACTGGTTGAATCAAATCATTGTTAAGTTTAGTAATAATTTGGAGCAGCAGGTTTTTGTTGGGGGTTTTTTTTTTTGGGGGGGGGGGGGGGGGGGTGTTAAATCTAAGAATTTTGAGTCAGTTAACAGTAGATACTTGATCTGAAGTAGCTGACATATCGACATAGTAAAGAGTTTAATTGTTCCAGAACTCCCTCTCTGTCTTTGTTTCATCTGGCAGTCAAAATGTATCTAATCTATTACTAATTATCTCAATTTTTTTATATTAAACTAAAAGCGGCTGATTGCACCATGATCATGAGGGCATGAATAATGCTGTGACAGCTATTTCTCTCGCATGTCATTAAATTCTTTTCAAAGACCTGTAATGAAGCACAAAACCCACAGACCAAACTAAACTTACTCAGCTACCCAGTTTATGTGTAACACTGCTGGCCTCCAGTGTCATCTGAGATGCTTTCAGGTAGAAACTATGGGCATCTGTTGCATCTTCATAAAACCAAAACATGACCACTGAATTTGAACCACTGAACATCTCAGTAATGTATTATTGAACATCTGTTACCATTTTTAAAAAGTTAGAAAGCTGTATAAAATGTAATCTCATAATTGTCTTATTGACAGTTTGAAGAAAAATAGCTTTTAGGTACTAAAAAGAAACAGCTGTCAAAGCACTTCTGCCAACATATTCAAAATCACTTTATTTTTTCATAAGATGGTGCATTTCCTCATTTTAAACTTTTGATATGCTTAATATTTTGTAAAACATGGGCTTATGTGATTTGCAAATCATATAATTTTGTTAGCTAATTTCATTTTTGTTTTATCCGAGACGTTGACATGTATATAAAATGTGAAAAATAAAGTTTATCAGCAAAAGTGAAGCTGCAAAAACCATTTGAAACAATGGGAATCAGGGTCTGCCAGACAGAACATTTTATTGCTGCTCTGAGCTGTCCAATGTGTGGAGGAGGTGGAGGAGGGTGTGGTAGTTAATGTTCTCAGTGGTATTAGCAATGTGTGCTGGACTGCCAGTTGTGTCTTTTTCCCTTTACTTAAAGGGAAAAAATAATGAACAATAATGAACAATGTAATACTGCAAACTGCTATTTGAAGGAAACACATTATCAACAACATTATGCCTCTCTGTATCCTCACATCAAGTTGGAGTGAATCCACATTAATATGATCCTGGGCTTGATTTGGCTTTAGTTACTTCCTGTCCACATTTCCTTGTCTCTGATTGGCACCTTTGTTCCTGTTTACCTTAAGTGAAATCAAGTGGTACAGATTATCATTAATAAGGACTGCACTCCCTTCCCCTCACATCTTTCACTTGCACATGGGGTGGCATGTTTGTTATATTTGCTCTTTTCATTAGGTAGTTTATTTTATTAATTTATTTATTTATCTTGCAGTAAGCTAATAACCCAGAGTCTAGTCTTTGTCCCTTTGTATTCGGGTACAAATACAAAGAGGGGAGCCCTGGAAGGGGGTCACCCAGCCACTATGTTGCAGAAGCCCTAGGAGGTTGTGGCGATGAGCCTGCAGGCTCTGCCGGCCAGCCAGAGAAAACCGAGGTTTGGTCCCAGAGAAGAGAGAAAATCTTTAGGAATTATTTAGAGACAGACAGTTTTAAAATCATTTAACCACTTAATTCAACAAGTCTATGGAGATATATGTCAACGTTTATATGGCTTTAAATGTGTCATAAACAGCATTAATGTGTGTGTATTTTATTCTCTTAGTTCACTTTACGAAAGCACATGGCAACTCCATATAAAAAAAGAACAGATAAAGTCCAGTACTGGACTGTTTTTGTGCTTTTGAGGCCAAATCACCCAGGGCTTCTTAGATTAGACTGACGAGTATTTGAAATGTCAGCAATTCTTGATTATTGTAGTTTCATCACTGATTTATCGGTAGTCATAAATGAAGCAAACGTTTCAATTATCCATGCTTAAAAGTAACAAGGCTTGTTTGGTAGACTCATCTTTGGTGATACTGACACCGATAGTGAAACTGATTAGTCCTGGAGAGCAGCTCAGCAAAACAGCTCACCTACATGTACCTGTGGTTCCATCCTCTAACAAATGCTACTGCTGTCATGATATCATGTGCTGTGTAAATGTGCAGGCAGGAGATTGGACCTAAATGCAGGACTCACAGAACACAAAGGCATGAATTTAAAACGGCAGCTTTCACAGCCGTCACAACACAACACAAGGCGTGGAAAACAAAGGGCTTAAATACAAACTGGAGTAATCAGGGAATGGGCGACAGGAGGGAAACATGCTGGGAGAAATTAGACCTGACGAGACAAGGGAAACAACACTGACATGAGACACAGACTTTCAAAGTAAAACAGGAAACACACAACAGGCACAGACTTGATACAGAACAGAGGAAACGTGGGACACAGGGACAGGAATGACGAGAGACACGACTGACAGGGGCGAACAACATAATTAACATTAAAAGTGAACTAAACCACTACTAATCATAAACCATGATGAAATCACAGAATAATAATAATAATAATAATACAGAAAACACTCGATCACTGACCCAGGACCATGATAACTGTGTAGTGAGGTGGTTGTGGCTTATACGATTGTCTGATTTTAACCGTATTAAATTTGTATTTACCTCATTTATGTGTTTAACTCTTCAATGTTCCACATTTCAGCAGAGCCATCAATGAATGAACTTCACTTTGGAATGTTGGGTATGTTTGTCAAACGGTACATGCTTTGTCTTCACAGGAGCTGTGTGGAAGAACCGCTCGTCTGCAAGTGCAGCAGATACTGAACTCGACTGTTTTGCTCTCCGCTGGTGATCGTGGAGGTCCCAAAGAACACCAAAAAGCCAAAGAAGCCTTAACCTAAAGTTGCTGCCACATTGTTTTCTACTTTGGCATGTCTGATGCCATATTAGAAAATATTTTAAATGGGTTTAAATGTGAGGAATTGAAGGAATGTCGAATTGTGCTAGATTGTTAGGAGTGTATGTATCATTCTTGATCCAATCCTGCACAGATCCTGTTTGATCTGTTTAGTGTTGAACAATTGCATTTTATTTGTGTGTTTGTGTGAAATTTTAATAATAAATGTACAGTTTTGTGTTGTTTTTTGTTGTTGCTTGCCCTTTCTTACTTGTAAAATGAAAGCAACATTTCATTTTGTATTTGAGTTTTTAAAATAAATGCTGTTAAAAATTTATATATTTTCAGAATAAATTATTAATTAATTAAACAAAATGTACAAATATGTTCATTTATCTTAAAATAGATACTTTTAAAAAAGCTAACTTTTCTCCACTGTTGTCTCCCATTTTACTGTTTTGTTGTTCAATAGTTTCTAAAAGGAATATGATTTGAATAACACTGAACGTTCTAATCTAATAAAATTTGTGCACATTTGGCTCAAATTCGAGCTGGATCAGGTATTACGAGACTCCTCATCTGGTACTGATCTGGTGCATTATGAGTAGATGAAGTGCACGCTATGTGGTGCAAAGTCTGTAATCGCTCATGTAATGTTTAACTATATTTTTTGATTGCCAATTACACTGAGTTCCAGGTGTACTGAGCCTTTTCTTCATTTAGTCCAAAGTTGAGGTAAACAAAGAACAAGTGTGCAATCTAGGAGTTCACAGGGTGCAGTAAAGAAAATGTCCAAGAATGACCATACATAACAATAAATCTAAAATCTAGATTCTAGACTGTTCTTGTAACACATTTTCCTTTAAAGTTGCCCTGCATTATTTTTTTAATTAAGTATATTACACTTAAAGTAATAACACCTGGTTTACATTAAGAGCAACTCTAAATAAAAGCATCTCTGCTATGCCTGTGGAAAAGCCATCATTTATCAGTGAAGGCTGAGACTACATCAGATTATAAATTCTTACACCAATTTTATTAGCCTAAAAAGAAATGGTCCTGAAAAAAAATGGTTTTTTTAATCTGAAGGACTTTACCAACATTTTTCAGTACATTCAGACATCAGATTTATATTTTTACTCCTCTTGCTAGGCATCATTTCTGTTAAATTATCACACAAATAAGCGATAACCTGTATTTTATGATTAAATAATACCAAAGTAACAGAAATTAAGTATTCACATAGTACATTTTAGTGCATGAGTTTAGACTCACTGGGCAAATTATAATTTTTTACTTTTTTTTTTTTTTTAAAGTTAAATCTAAAGTAGTTATTCAATTCCCCCCTCCAAAAAATAACATATTAAAATAATGAAGATGTAAATAATTATTAGAGATAAAAATAAGTTAAAAAGTGCTTACTAAAAAATGACAGATTTCAGCATATTATGTGAACTGGAAAATAAAATTAAAACAGCAGTATAGAGGTATAAAAATCTCACTTTAATTTGTGAGGAATTCAAATGTTGCAACAGTATTTCCTTGTGGGTAAATCAGCACAAATTGTACAATCTTTAATGTCCAGTGCTTGTGGCTTCAGATTTATATCAGGATACACTAAATATTTTGTCAAGCTAGTTTTATCTGTATCTATAAATAGTCTCCATTTAATTTAAAGCATGCCAGTTATGAGAACTTTAATGGACTCAGTGAGGCTTCTGAATCCTGGTTTAATTGTATTAGCAGACATGTGAATAAACGTTGCTACTTCTAATGCTATTTACTCATGGTCCTAATATTGAAACCATAAATAGGTTTAAGAATATTGGCTCAGTTAGCATGAATTACTTGGTCTGAAATAACAGGCCAGGATTTTTGCCACTCCTGATCTCTATGGTGGTCAATCCAGGCTCCATGGCAGAGAGAAGCTCTCACCCTCCAGCTCTTTGGAAATCACAGAGGTGAATCGGGTCAGTTGCTCTGAGCTGAAGTGGTTTTTCCAGTCTCCAGCAATACCTGACAACAAAAACATGTCAAGCTTGAGTCACATAAACATAAAAACATCTGATGAGAAAAGAAATTGATTCTGGGAAGAAATCTAAAAATACACTTTTGATAGAAGATATGGAAACTCGCCTTTTCTTAGAAAAGGAGACTTGTCACTGTCCATGTACACCTTGGGGAATAGACTGAAGTTGGACATGTTGTTGTTCTGCATGCTCTTGAAAGAACAATGCTCTGCTATCTTCTGAATGACTTCCTCAGTCAGATTACAGCCCAGAAAATCGGAGATATGCCTGAGTGATGCAGGCAGGTCCTGGAAGAAACACGGTTGTTATATTATGTGAAACAGTGTGTGTTTTTCAAATTTAGCTTTTAATGAAAGCTCATTCTGAAGTCATTTTAAGATCATACTTTGAAAGGTCAGCGATTTGAGTGATTTAAGCTTCACATTTTTGGCACGATAAAAAGTCTGAGTTTTATTAGTTGAATACTATACGTCCAAACGTAATATGAACTTTGAGGGTTTTTTTAACAGCAAGAATGTTAAAATAACCTTTTCTATTGGGAATATTGCAGACATACTGACAACACAATGCTCGAAGATAAAGTGTTCTGTACAGTGATCTGTTATGCTTTCCTTTCATGGAAAACAATGGAAGACGTTGTTAACAAAAAAATTTTTAAGTGTTTTACCTGAACCATTTCTTCGTAGGTAATGTACATTATTCTGTCTCCTAGTTCACTGTTTCTCCAGCTCTTTACGTGGTCTGTCCATTTTCCAAACATCACTGCAAATAAGATAGAAATTGGCAAATCATTCACATGCAACCACTTTTCTACTGGTGATAATAGAAGTGCAGTTTTGATCTCTGACCTTTGCCCTCAAGAAATTTATCCATGAACTCATCAAAGGTTCCTGGATCCTCAAGGAAGCCAGCCATCTGGTGGAAGTAGTATGAAGACACCATGATGTCCTTTGGGTTCCTCATGACGTAGATCACCTACAGCAGAAAGAGTGCAAAAACATAATGAGTGTAAAGTCTCTTATATAATCAGGAATGAATTGGGAATATCACACAGAGTCATTACCTTTGCTTTGGAGGCACAGAAGGAAGGGGGCATGAGGCTGTATGGAAAATGTGAGACCAGTGCCCGTGGAGATGCCAGCTTATCCACCACCCGTGCCAGTTGTTTCTCTTCTAGCCATGGGACTCTCTCCCAGTTAGGAATGGTATGGATGGGGGTCAGATCCCCCCCATTCAGCACCAGTGGGAGGATCTCCTGCATCCAGATTGTACCTGAAGAAATAACGGTGAAATAACAATCTGTATTGGAAACTATGCCCGGGCTCAGGAACCCTTCTGAGAAACAATGCCATTGAACACAGTTTGTCATTGCACCACAACTTCAAAACAACATCCTGCCCTGCAAGGGAAAAAAGATCCAGAAAGGCTGTTGTCTTCTTTGAGGCTGACTTCATCTAACAAAGACTTAAATGAAAGATTTTCCAGAGGTCTGACAAATCAAAATTTGAAAGGGTCGTCCAGATGATTCAACTTCTTTGACCAAGTATACGTAAAGCATGTGTACTTATACTGGATGTAAATGTACCCTCAGTACAAAAATTAAAAAAAACAGCTCTTTGAAAAACATTTCTACCAGCTATTTTTGTGCTAAGCTAACTCAGCCTTACATTTGTTGCTGCTGCCTGCACTGTAGATGGGTGACTTTGCATCAACATGTAAACAGAAAAAATTTATGTAGCCCAACATTACATTAGGATTTAGTAGGTGGGGGAATGCTAAGATCTGTTGGAGTGGTGGGCATAGGGAAAAGAATCACATAAGAACAATTCCCAATGTGAGCTCCAGTAGGATTTTTCTTTGAGTACATGCTGTGATCAGCTAAGGTATGCTGCTGCTCTGAGATTCACTGTTGTTTATGGATTTAGCCAACAGAGATGCTAGATGTTACAGAGTATGAAGCTGCTATAAACGTCAAGCTCAGTGAGTGGACTACTAATAATATTCCCACCATCATTGTCTGTTAAACTGACCATGAAGCCCACAGTCTGCTCTCTACCAGTCCTACAAGGTGCATTATTACAAACAGTAAGCTAACTTGTTGAGCCTTCACTTAACTGCATAGCATTTTCATGCAACCTCTGAATGGGATACAGAGAGTATACTCCAGTTTGTTTTTTAAATAAATAAGGACATTATGTATAATCTCTGAATTTCAAGAAATTCCCACTTTCCCCCCTGCTGTCCTGTCTTACAGCTGAGTATGAAGTGGTGGGAATGAGAATCAGCACCTCTAAGTTTGAGAAAGTTGGCAGAAATGGCCTTTCTCTGAAGGGAGGCTGGTCTCTCCATTAGAGATTGTGCCTCAGGGTAGAGCTGCTACTCTTCCATACTGAAAGGAGCCAGTTGAAGTAGAACCTTCTACTATAAAAGCATGCTGTAATAGCTGCAGTGTGTGGTTTAGCATTATGTTGCTGAAATATGCAAGACCTTCCCTGAAAAAGATATTGCCTGGACGGCAGTGTATGTTCCTCTGAAACCTGTATATCCTTCTGAGACCAAGCCGGTTCATTTATGTGCTCTGTAATGGATATTTGCTTTTGGTCTATATCGTTTGACTTATTTGAGCTACCCTCCTAAGCCCTGATGTGCTTATTAGAGGAGTTCCTCTCCAATGGTGGGTGGTCCCTTTAGGCCAAAAAGGCAGGATATCACAGAAAAAGAGGCAGAAAATCACAGAAAAATTAAACTAAAAGTTACTTTTCTGCTCTGAAGGCACCTTTCCAGATGTGCAAGCACTCACTCCATAAGCACAGACCCCCACACCTTCAGATATGCAGGCATTAATTTGAGGAACATTTTTCTGAAACCATTCCACAACTTGTGAATGCTGTTTTCAGAAAGGAACCGCTGCCTAGCGTCATTTTTGAGAAACTCTGCCTCTCTGAGATGATCTTTTGATTCCAAGTCATGTTGCTGACGACCTGTCGCTAATTAACCAAATAAGTTTTGAAATGCTCCTCCATGTGATTATTTTTAGTGTCACTTCCATTTTCAGTGTTCTTTTGCCCAAATCTCAGCTTTTTTGAGATGTTTTGCTGCCATCAAAACAAATTTCTTAAATATACAGGAATAAATTCCTCCATATATAAAATGTGGAAACTAAAGCTTATCAACAAAAACCATCAGAGACAACTAGAAAAGCTAAAAAGCGACAACAGATATGAGAACAAACACATACCTGACTTCGGATAAGTGATGGCAAACACATCAGTGTCTTCCACACAGAAATTTTGGGCGTACTCCAAGCTCTCCGTGGTGTGGGCCTCCAGGGGCAGGAGGAGACCGTGGTACTTAATGTACTCAGTGGCAGACATGACAGTTCTCTGGATGAGTGAGTCTTCTGTACTTTTCTCCTATCCTTCGTTAGAGACTTTCTCCTGTTACGTAGTCAGTGCCCTTTCCCTGAGCACCTCCTTATTTAATAATCTAGTTGGCATGATTGGACCATTCTCCCCCAAGTACGTATACCTTCCTGAAAGGGAACTTTGTATTCCAAACTGCTTTTATATTTCAGAGGTTGAAGCCAAGACCTAATGACCACGGGTTGGTCTCAAATAGTATACTGTCTTTTTATTCGATTACTCTTGGCTTTATGTAGTAAAACTGACTTAAAGAAAATAAAACATAAACAACCTCATGCTGCAGACATTACTGACTGGTCATAGGTTTTGAAATTTTGTTGGGTTGTAATCATCAAGTTATGTTCTCCCTTTCTGTGTCTTGACATAAAGTTGGAGTGATTCCGTGTTAGTATAATGCCTGGCTTGATATGACTCACTGGAATTCACAACCGCAGCAAAGTAGCATGACAGTGTAAACACTACAGCGTTGTTCAGCAAGCTCGTAAAAGCAAGTAGTGTGTGTGCCTGTGTTTATGTCTGTGTCTGTGACCATTGTGCCTTTTCAACAATGACAGCTTTATTGGACTCAAGGGACAACAAATGAGAGACAGAAAAAAATTGGGCCGCGTGAGCTGAACTAGCAAAAAATGAGTGAATACCATTCGTTTTGTACGTCCTCCTTTTTATTCAGTTTTTTCTTACCGAAAAACAATCCTGCGTGAAAAATGGGCTCCTCTCCTTGATGACCTATTTGTCCACATGTGATCTTTTTATTAGTATACTGGATCTGACTGTATTAATGGAAAAAGTTTCACACCAGTAGTTCTTTAGTTTATAAAGAAATACAAGTTATCCTGCATTTGGAGTGAAAGTTCAGGAATGTGTTATTCTTTGCTTGTTCCAGATACAAATTTGATTACTTTCAGATTTTTGCAGCATTCCTGGCTGCTAACTCTTTGCAGAAGACTCACTGAAATTTTGATTCATATAAGCATGGTGTGTATTTTCAAAATACAGAAAGTAAAGTTTTAAATATTATAGGAGTTCTGTCTTTCATCCCAAAGACAGAATTCCTAAACACAAACTTAATAACGTAGTATATGCAGTGTTGGGAAGGTTACTTTTAAAATGTATTCCACTACAGATTACAGAATACATGCCCCAAAATGTATTTTGTAACGTATTCCGTTACGTTACTCAATGAGAGTAACGTATTCTGAATACTTTGGATTACTTAATATATTATCATGCTTTTTACAACTGCATGAATGTACTGTTGCTGTGTGATTTATTACTATTACTGAAAGCCCACGGCTGATTTGGTGCAACATTTGTTGGATATGGTTCATTTAAGACAGACAACTGCTTTAGTCTACCCAATGTCCTGTGTGGGCTTCCAACCCCTGTGGTCTGACATGTAGGAATGTGTTTGCATTTGTCTCCAAGATACAGTTCATCATAAAATGTTGCTGTAAGCACACCTGTATATGCTAGCAGCTTCAAATCTGCATAGCTGTTGCATTTTAAGTTGAATATGCTTGCAAATAACTTTTCTCCAAAACATAAAAAGGCAAGGCATTTTCAAGCTTTGACTTGCTCCATAAAGTTAGCAAAGCATTTTTATATCTAGTATCCTAGCTTTTTTTTCAGTCTACCATTGCAACATCCCAGAAGGATCAACTTGTGTGAGCTCGCCTGCTGACTAAAAGCTCCAGCTCTGTAATATATAAGTGGTGATTAGAGCACATTGAGTCACTATGTACACATAATGTACAGGCTTGAAAATCAGATTAGAGGAATGCAGAGTGGCTAAAGTAGCTTGATTCATTATGAGAGAAAAAAAAGCAACCCCGTTACAGATATAGGGGAATGGAGCTTTATTTGTAGGCCTTATTTTTACAAAATCCAACAGAAATGTGTCTTTTCAAAGATTCATCCATCATTCTTGTTATTACAGCTACAGCTGAAATAAAAACAAGCCTGTGTGTCTATCATACGTCCGGAGAACAATATGATGTTTAGCATTTAAAATTTGACTACTATTTCATCAAAACTATAAAAGAAGTAAATAAGACAACAAGTTACTGTTAATGACTTTATTGATCTTCTTGTTAAAATTCTCAACAACAAATTAAATACAACATTACATCCATGTTAATTAAGATTGCAGTATCATAACTTTGTATTAGCAGAAACATGTGGACTGTGCCGTGAATGTGCTATGCTCAGTAACTTTAAAAATTGTACCAGTTAAATGTCAAATACATGCAGATCCAGAATATGGAGGTCCTAGATGGCAAAAGTTAATCATATACAAGGTTAACATGCAATAAGTATTACACACTAAAAAACAATATATATTAACCCTTTAAAGCCGGTCGGAGCGGGCACGCTCCGTTTTACATAACTATTTTTAAATCCCGGTAGCACTGCAACCACGTAAGCTAGCGCAATAATTTTTTTTGCATATGAAACCGGAGGAGTTGTACTTACATCTTATTCCATCAGCTTGCCCTAGGTCACAGTTTCCTTCTACATATAGCTTTGCAAAAACTGCATAAAAAGCACTTGTAGCAACAAAAACATAATATTACAGAAACACGCTTTGCCAATCCGATCAGCTGTTTGTAACACTTCCTACATCCATCAGCGCGAACTATCGCATGTCCGTCATGACCTGTTCGAAACCGGAAGTGACGTCATTTTGCGGCAATTTAGTTTTTTACCACTAGTTCATGGCACTAGTTTATGGGCTCAAATTGTGGTTATAAATATTTTAAAATATTTATTATAAATATTTTACAAGTACGAATATTTTGTAAATCAGACAGCATAGTTGTGAACTGAGTTTTGTAACCTGTAAACCAAATATCTGAAAATTTTATGTTTGTGCATCTATGGAAGAGAATTTGTGTCAATGTAAAAGAGATTTGTATTTGTAAAAAAATATTTACACATTACAAATTTGTTTTTTAAGGTCTGGTTACAGATGCAAAGCAAAAAACTATATATTAAACTTAAAAATTTTGACCAAATTCTTCTTCCTTTCAGCTGATTGGTCAATGTCAGGTCAATCACAAATTTAACAATCCAATCAGAGACAGATGGGTTGGGCTGTCGAAGGGGTGCTTTGCTGAGCTGCAGGTCCTGGAAGGGTAATATAGTTTGAAGCTGGAGGATTTCCATATGAATATTCATTATAAGCTAGGTCCCTTAACTTCCGGTAGCTGTTGAAAGGATAAAGCTGTGATATACCAGAAATCCCATTATTACTTTAGTATTACCTAACACAAAGTCAGGGCTGACCTGGGACCTGTGAGTCACACTGCGGAGCATAAAGGCCCTTTCACAACGGCATGCGCTGCACTCACCGCTAAATCAGAGCGAAGGATCCAAAATTTGTTGTGCTGGTCGATGCACTCTTTTGTTTTTTTGGGGCAGCTCTATGTATACTAGATGTGCCTCCTATAAGAAATATAACATTACTCGCAATATAGGTCTCGATTTTGTCTTTACCACTCCTGATCTCTCCATCTCACTATTTCAGATGGTGGTCAATCCAAGCTCCATGGCAGAGAGAAGCTCTCACCTTCCAGCTCTTTGGAAATCACAGAGGTGAATCGGGTCAGTTGCTCTGAGCTGAAGTGGTTTTTCCAGTCTCCAGCAATGCCTGACAACAAAAACACGCATGCAAAGAGTCACATAAACATAAAAACACCTGATGAGAACAGAAATTGACCATGGAAGAAACTCTGAAAAGACATCTTTGATAACAAACGCGTCCAAGTTGGTGTGTTGTGTTCAATATCACTAATTTTTCAACCCAGTCAGATGTGTCATAATGGGATATGGAAACTCACCTTTTCTTAGGAAAGGAGATTTGTCATGGTCCAAGTACACCTTGGGGATCAGACTGAAGTTGGACATGTTGTTGTTCTGCATGCTCTTGAAAGAACAATGCTCTGCTACCTTCTGAATTACTTCTTCAGTCAGATTGCAGCCCAGGAAATCAGAAATACGCCTGAGAGCCGCAGGCAGGTCCTGGAAGAAACACGCTCGTTATATAATGTGAAACAGTCAGTGTTTTTTTAAATTTGGCTTTTATTGAAAACTTATTCTAAAGTCATTTCATGAGCAAACTTTGAAAGGTCAGGGGTTTGAATAGTTTAAGTCACAATTTCAAGTTTTGGCAAGACATAAGTCTGGGTTTGTTTTGCTCAAAGTGACAAATGTGGAGGGTGCACTCCAATGTTCCCTCTAATTTTTCATGTGTCTGAGCGAACACACAAACTCCCTGCGCGGTCCCTTGGACCACTGTGAGCAACATTAGAAGTGTGCACTGTGGTCACGCCAACATCGAATCCATCCAAGTTACATGGTTTATTAAAATAATCAAATTAAAGCATTTATGTTAGACTACTTTTAATTAACTGCTTCAGCACACTGACAATGAAAATTTGAAAAAAAAAAAAATCTTGTTCATGACCTGTTTAGTATGTTAACACTATTGGAAGTGAAAATAACTCTAACTCCAATTTTGAAAACACAACTTTCTTTCTTTTTTAAATAAAGCTCTGACTTGAATTATGAGTATGAGTCTGTGGTCTGGGAGAGAGTCCTGTAATTCTCTGTTTGCAAAATACAGTATATAATGACCAATGTTGGGCAATTAATTATATAGTTACTTCTTCAAAAAAGTAACTGAGTTTTGCAAACAACGGAGTTTTTTGCAGCTGTTTACCTAAAAATGTAGCCAAGGCATTTTTTAAAATAAATATTTCAAACTATTTACAGAACAATCAGCTGTTCTGCATCAAATTTGATGCCACACAAATTATTTGTGTCACTCCAAAAAATTATTTCTGTCCACTATGAGATAAAGGAGAACAACAGCCTGATACCTGCAGGCCTGACAACAGGAGATGTATCACTCCTGTAACACCTGTAACATTCAGTAGTTGCCTCATTGTTCTGACA